TGCTTATTGTGCTTAGGGGAAAATGCCAAGGAACCGCAGGCCCAGGCGGACTTTTAGAGAAGTCCGTTACACTCAGTGCTCTAGCCACCAATGATCCCAGCAGATCATTGAGACTCTATCAGAACAGTGCTCATGTCTGACAGCCTAGGTTCCTCAGCCGTGGGAGCAGCTGCAGAAAAAGAAAAGACTGGCAGGGAAGGCTGCCCTGTCATCCTGCCACCAGCACAGGCTCCTCTCTGCCTTTTCTACATACGACCAGTTTCCATGGTTACAGACAAGTTATCTATGCGCCAGGAAAAGGATCACGAAACTTTGGTTTTTTGAGACAGGGTTTCTCTGTGTAATAGTCCTGGCTGTCCTGGAACTTGCACTGTAGACCAGGCTGGCCTTGAACTCACAGAGATCCACCTGCTTCTGCCTCCCAGGTGCTAGGATTAAAGATATGCATCACCACCGCCTGGCTAGGACCAGGAAATTTTTCTGACTTTTCTCCTTCTCCTTTAGGGTTAGGAAGCTTACAACTCCTCTCTGTCTTGAATTGTTTTCTGTTTGTTCTACAGACAGGGTGTCATATTCCAGCGCAGGCTGGTTGTGGCAATGCTCCTACGTGGCACTGAGGCAGGAGTGAGGCACCGCATCACTGCTTAGCGAACTTTCAGGGATGGACGAAATAGTGAACAACGTGGGGGCCACACATGATCTAGAGATTCTGTTTTGTATTGTGTTGTTTTGGAGGCTGGAGAAATGGCTCAGCTGTTAGGAGCACTGGCTGCTCTTCTAAAGACCCAGGTTCAATTCCCAGTACCGACAGGGCCACTGGCACCCATAGCTCCAGTTCCAGGGGACTTGATGGCCTCTTCTGGCCTGCACAGGCACCGGACACACCAGTGCTACATAGACATACGTGCAGCCACGCAACCGTTCTCATAAAAATAAAACAAAAACTTGAAAATCCATTACAAACATAAAACCTGGGGCTGGGGAGATGGCTCAGTAGGTAAAAGTAGGCCCAGTCACAAGGACCCAAGTTCAGAGCCCAGTCTCCCATGCAAACAGCTGGGCATGATAACATGCATCTGTAACCCAGCTCTGGGGGAGGCAAGTGGAGGCAGAGGAGACAGGCAGCTCCTGGGAGCTCTCTGGCCAACCAGTCTAGCTCAAGATTCTATGAGAGACCCTGTCTCAAAAAACAGGGTGGAGAGGAAGACCCTCAATTTTGATCCCTGGCCACTACCTGCACACATACATTCACAGGAGCATTTGTACCTGCACACATATGAACAAATACACATATACTACACACACACACACACACACACACACACACACACACACATGCTCGCACATACACATACACTCACATACACAAAATACATATTACATACACATACACAAACATATATGTACTACATACACACAACACACACACACAATCACACATACACATACAAATAAATAATAAACATTTTTAAATGCTTTTAAAATATAAAGGCCATTCTTAGCCCAGGAGGCATACAAAAATAGGCCTAAGGTTGGATTTAGCTTTCTGACTACATTGTGCCAGCCCTTGGCTAAGACAATGAAAATATTATATCAGTCTTAAGATTCAGATAGAAATTGAGCATTGCTATAATAAATATGAATATGAAATTCTACTACTAGCAGAAAGCCTCATGGTGACAGTCGAGAGAAAGCCCAAGTTGGAATCTCTAGGAGAAAGGACTGTGAGGTCCCCACATACTTGGAAATGTCAGCTCCTTGTCATCTTGGGCCTGAGACAGTCGGACACATTAAAGGCAGAGATGTTTACAGAAGGCCACCCTGCCGAGGCACAGTGACAGTGTGGGGGTAGTGTTGATATGACTGACTCTGCAGCTTCTCCATGCTTACGAGCCCACAGGGCTGACAGGACTCCAGTATTAATGGAGTCAGGGGCTTGTGTGTGGAGGGCTGGTCGATGTGGGCACGCGCCATGGGTGTACACGTGGAGGCCAGAGGTTGACATGAAGTGTCTTCCTCTATTGCTCCACCTTATTTTGGGACAGCGTCTCTAACTGACGGAGCTCGCTGATTGGCCAGAATGACAGGCAGCGAGCCCTTGGGGCCTCCAGTCCGCTCCCCGCGCTGACATCACAGCATGCCTGCCTTTTTACACTGCTGCTCACACCTTGCGTCAGTCCGCTCCCCGCACTGACGTCACAGCATGCCTGCCTTTTTACGCTCACACCTTGCGTCAAGCACCTCACCCAATAAGCCACCTCCTCAGCCCCAGACACTGTTTTTAACCAGGAAAGCTCAAGGTACAAGTGCCCCGCAGCAGATTTCCTCCACATCTTCAGAATAAGTCCATCCTGACGTAAAACAAGCAAGAGGGCAAGAAGACAGGTGAGTAGAGAGAAGGGGACACGAGGGGACCACAGAGACACTAAACACGGACCCGACTTTCCAAAGCTGACTGCCTTTCCGATTGTCACCCTCTGGGCTCAGTGACTGCACTTCCACGAACTGAAACGGACGCACTCAGTCAGTACTTACAACAAAGCCGGGTTACCTACGGAAGCGCTGTCTGTAAAAAGATCAGATAAACACTGGCACACCTGTGCAAAGGACACGCACACAGGTGTTTCCAAAATGAGGAGTGAAGAACGTTTTCATAGCCGAATATGAAATATGTTTAACGACAAAAGGCAAGGTGAGAAATGGTTCATTACTCATCTGTCCTTTCCTGTTTGAATAGAATGCCTTTGGAATTTTCAAGAAACTGGTAATACTGGTTTTGTCTAGCAAGCAGAACCTCAGTGACTGAGGGATGGAGTCAAAAGTGGTTATCTGAACCGACCTCAACTTTGAGATTCTGAATCTTATGAATTTATTTATCTCACTTAGAGCAGTTGGCTTAGATGTTTTGTGTCTTTACGTCACCAAACAGCAACTACAGCTCCTCTCTCAGGCTCCTGCTAACCAGATCCATTCAGCACTCGGCAGAGCTTTGAAGAACTGAAAGGTCCTTGTCCAGGTGAACAAGTCTCTTCTAAGGGCACAGTTTGCGATGTCTGTTGTTTTTCCTCAGTTTCCCAGTGTAAAGAGACGGTGACCTCTCACATTCAGATGACGGCAGGGACCTGAGAGGACACTTGATCTCACTGTACCCAGAGTCACCTGTCAGCTTACGCAGGCCCAGAGCTCCTCCCTGTCAAAAACAACCCCAAGCCCAACAGTCTGAGCAGTGAGGTCTTCCCGGTCCTCCCCAGGCTCACTTCAAAGCATCGTCTCTCTCCCGTGTCCCTTCTCAGCTGGTCTCCTGGTTATTCGCCAAATGTAATTGCTGCATATATACACATCGCCTCTCATCCCTGCTGGGTAAACAGCAATTTCCAAGTAGAGACAAAGTCATAATATTTTGAATACAAGAGAGTGTGACAAGCATTTGGCAGTGTGAGCAGACATCAGGACAAACAGCATCATGTGTGTACTCCTGGAGGACAGACACTGATCATGGGACTCCAGCCTCATGAGACACTCACTTATTTAGAAATGGTTCCATTGTTTGTGGCAATAAAGGAAATATACCTGTGGGATGTGGAAGAATCCTATTGATATACAATGTGAGTCTGTTTCTACTCAGGATACACCAAGACTGAGAAGCCCATGAATAGGTTCACAAACTTAAAACAGAAAACAGTTCCTACTAGTCCAGGCTATCACAGACCATAGAGTTCCTTGGCTATAAGAGAATTGGACAAACAAACCTTAAATGTTTAAAAAACAGCCACTGAGGATCTGGGGTTGAGGGGAGGTAATGGGGGGCGGGTGGAAGGTGGGGAAGCTGCAGACAGGATGTATTATTGAAGAGAATTTAAAAAGAAAGCCACTAAAGGTAATCTGGGGAGGCTTTCACCCACTAGGAGCCCTGAAAAGCCATTTAGTACCCCTAAAGGGAGAGAACCCAAACTCTCAGCAACGTTCATTTTCTATGAAGTACCCTACAGTCCAGGCACCAGCAGTCAGAGAACAGCAACCAGTCATCTCTGCTCAAGCCCCTGTCAATTCTCACCCGTACCTGACCCTTCTGAGAGATACCTGTGTTTTGGCACACACTAACCTTGGACTAACCCTGAGGAACCACTTCTCACCCAGGCATTAGGGGACTGAGATCCAGTACTGTTCTCCCAGTTACCTGGAAAGGGCTCACCTCCTGGGCAACCTCACCATCAGACAGAGGAAGTGCCAAGAGTTTTAGTGAGAAATTGCAAGCACCTTCTCCCCCTTGGGCAGAGTTCCATCTCTCAAGCTCAGCTCCCAGTTCTGCTACTCACTAACCTCGTGCCTTTAGAAATATCATACAATGCCCATCCCCGGCTTCTCCCTTGATCTATAAACCAAGAGGGTAGTGTGTTACAGCTCTGAAGGGAAAGGTATCCTGGCACTCAGGAGCCAAGAAGTACCACAAAGTCACACTGCACAACAAACCTCACATAGAAACTTATTGGGAGAGTCACAAGAGGGTGGCTGCCTCTGCTCGGGAGAAGCCGCAGAGAACTGGACGGGAGGCGGGCTTTCTATAGGGTTTCTTGTGTGTAGGCTTTCCAGGGTGGCCTGGGATTGGTGGCAATCTGTGGCCTGGTCTTGGGGCAAGCTCAGGGGCTAGTGGGATTCCATAGCCTGATCTTGGGCTTTTTTCTGTAGGGCAGAGCTTGGCCACCTGCATCTCCAGAGGCTGGAAATGGACTAGTCTGGCGGGGGAGAGTGAGCCTGGCCACTGAACACCTCGAGCAGCTTACAGGCGGACTGAACAGGGTGAGTTATTGTGCAGACTGAGCAGCCTCTCCATGAACGGAATGGCAGCAAAAAGAAAACCACAGCACCCTCCTCTCACCCCACCCCTTCCCATACCCCACCCCTCCTGCTGGAGTGTTCCCAGGGATGAGGACTGCTGGACAGTCTATAAGAAGAATGTCAACACCACAGTTACCAGGAAAAGGGATTCTGGGTGGACCTACCTTTCCCGCATCCACCAGTTCTGCAATTTCATCTAGATATGGACCACTGGCCATGAAGAAGGCCCAGCGGTAATGGACTCCTTGCCAGAAATGCTAGAAGGAAGAAAATAGTCATGGTAAGTGTACAGAAAGGAAGATCTGACTAACTGCAGCTAACTAAAGGCATTTTCTGTACGACCAAGACAATGAACCCATTTCCCATATCATGTTACACATGGTGTGTGCTCAGGACCTCAACATGGTAACCGATGGAGGGCAGATACCCCATAGAGCTTAAGGAATAAGCAAACGAACTAGGCCTGTCCACGTCAACTCAGGCGTCTCCATGCATTATTGACACAGGAAAGCGTTCCTTAAACGACAGTCTGAATGTCTCGTGTGCTGCACTGCTTACCCACAAGGAGTTAGAGCTAGACCTCCAGGCATCCCCACTGAAGTCTGCAGGAGCCCCAAGGCACCAAAACTACATTTAAAAGTGTTTTAGGAGCAAGAGTCACTAAAGCATGCTTAGACAAGACTCAATCCTATTTCTGACTCTGACGGGAATGAAGAAGCTTCAAAGAAAGGATATAAAGTTGCTTTTATATATGTCATGGCTGGGTCTAATCAGACGGCCTGACTACCTCTGTAGTTACTGTGAATGTCAGGCCATCTGATCTTGGTAGAACAAAACCTCTCACCTCAAGGATGAGCAAAAATCTTACACTGAAAGGGTTCCACTCCACTTCTGCACCCACGTACAACTGTTCTCTCTTTTGCTTCTGAGCAGGTCCTCATCGTGTGGCCCAGGCTGCGCTCAACAGCCGTGTCTTTATGAGAGGTGAGTAGGACATTATCAAAACAGCAGTAAGCCAAGCTCCAAGACGTCTTAAGCTGGCCCGAGTCCTCAGAGATGGCTAAGGACACTAGGACCATGCTGCTGTCCTGCCTGCTCCTACACACAACTGCAAAGCGAGGGCAGAATGTTCACTGAGGCTAGTCTTGGCTTGACAATCCCTGATTGTCACGGACCTGCAGGGCTGGGAGTCTGATCATAGTGTTCTAGAGCAAAGCTTCTTAAACTGTGCGTCATGACCACATATGGAGTCAAACAACTGAATGAAAAATCTCACAGTAAAAGGCTCTGTACAACTTATGTGGCCAGACACTGGTACACTGAGATGTCCCCAGCACAGGGCCCACCTAGTAAGTGACAAGCACAGAAGACAGGTTCAACTGGTTCTCCTACGGTCTGCTGGGTCTGCTGTCACTTCCGGGACCACAGTGAAAGCATTCCGGTAACTGTTTGGGGTATGAAAGGGGAACTAAAATGGTCACAACTGCCACATCTAAAGTCCCTCACAACACATTTCTCTGGGAAGCGAACCGCTTGATCCCTAACAGCAGACAAAGAACAGTCCTGATTCCTTCCTCTGCAGACAACTACCCTGTGGTTTTCCTTAAGCTGCTTGTGGACACTGTCTGAGTGAAATAAAGACAGGCAGAAGTATGGCGCACTTGGCTCCCCTCTGCACCCACATCTGTCAGTTAACTGTGCTGTGCTTCCTCGTAGCTCTTCACCTTTAGCAAGGTGAGTCCTTGCTTTTAGGAAAGCAAGTCTTACCATCCTAATGGTGCCCAAGTTCATTTCCAGCAGAAAGAAGCACTTAAGGGGGTTCGGCAGTTAAGAGCACGTGCTGTTCTTTGCAGAGGACCTGGGTTTGAGTCCCAGCACCTACATGGCAGCTCACTACTGTCCTCAACTCCAGTTCCAAGGGACCCAGCACTCTCTCCTGGCCTCTGATGGCACTAGGCACACACACAGTACACAGCCACACATGCACGTAATGCATACATACACATAAGGTAAAAATTATGGATTTCTTTAAAAAGCAGCAGCTAAAGACTGAACACAGCGGCACACACCTGTAATCCAAGCTCTCAGGAGGTAGAGGCAGGAGGAACACACGGTTCAGGTAAGTCTGGTCTACATATTGATGCCCCGTCTCAAAACAAAACAAAACAAAACAGAAAACATCTCAAGGGTCAGGGTGTGACTCAGTGGCACTTCTTGCTCAACATGCCTGGGGCCAAGTTCAATCCCTAGCTCCTCATTCAAAGCCATGCATAAAAAAGAAAAGAAACAAAATGATGGAGGAAGGCGGGGGAGGGAAGAAAGCTAAGGACAGTCAGCACCCCAGGATGGCCAGAGCCTGTAGGTCCACCCAGGGACCGAGCTGTTACCCCGAGGGCCTTTCTACTGCCTTCTCCTTGAATCTCAAGTATTTAGTTAAGAAAACAACATTTATTTTCTTCTATCTCGTATACCATTTCACCTCCAATTCAATACCCCAGGATTCCCCTAATTTATAACCTGAAATTTTATCAGCCTCTGTTCCACTGTGGTGACAAGACGTTAAGTAGAGGGCAGACATGTAAGCCCCACCGCAGTCCTGTAACTGAGGCGACAAGCACTGATTCCCAAGGCCCACCACTCCCTGCGGACATGCAGCTTGGGCACTAGAGCACTGCACAGACCCAGAAGCCGTGGCTATCAATACAGTCGCCTGACGAATCATGTCCCAGTAGCTGGTCTTCACAGTTCACTGGGGACAGGAAACGCTGGGACAGTGTGACATAATCCCAGCAAAGGCATAACGGCTCCATTAGCATCCACAGCCTCTCAGTAAAAGTACAGTTTCCTTAAGGTTTCTGAACCCCACAGACCTCTAAGGGTGAGAAAGCCTCGGCCTGGGAACCACGGGATATCTACTGTTGCATGAGCAGGGAGAGCAGCAGGAAACTGCCTTAGTAATGTCTCTACCTTACCTACAAGAGACTGTTTTAGGACTGGTGAGAAAGAAGCCATCAGGTAGAGGCAGGAAGGAGAGAGAAGGCGTATCAGATGAATCAAGAGAAGCAGTAACAGCTAGTCCCCAGGCTGGCATTAATGAGAGCCTTGATGGCCTAGGCCTTGGGCCACACTCTCCGTGGATTAGCGTATTTACGGCAATGCGGTAAATTACAGATTCGCAACCTTACCTCATGGCAAAGACACTGGGCTTGGAAACAGTAAGTAACGTGCACAGGGTCATGCGGCTACCACACCGAGGTCAGAATTGAAACCCTGCTATGTGAGGCTAGAGACCACGCTGGCAGCCACTGTGGGAAGCTGGCTCCAAGAGAAGAAGAAGTGACCAAGGGGCAAACTCACTCCCACCAATCCCGATTTGCCTCCCTACCTTCAATGTCTTGGTCCCCATGGTGAAGCCTGTCTGCAACATGCCATCAGCAATGCCCAGCTGGTCCATATTCAGGAGGAAAGGAGTCACCAGCGTCACATAGGTGGCTCCTGACCACTTCTTGAGAAAGTTTAGAGCCCATGTTTCAGTCGATCCACCCACATTATCAAGGATGAAGTCAAACCTGGAGGGAAAGAATCAAGTGAAGACATCCGGCCAGTCTCTACACTGGTGCAGATCCCCATCACTTTGTTGCCAGCTGGCTCCAAGGTGTATTCAGTACCAGCTCACACACCCTGCGCCACTGCACCATCCCACAGAGACCGGTTGAGACCGGAGAAGGCACATCACCCACATTTCTACCTTTCCCCCAATGTTAAAATTTCTTGTTGTAAGTTTTCTTATACCTTAAGAAAGACTTAAGCAAGTGGTTCTGAATCAGGGGTGATTTGGGTTAATATGAAGAGAACAGATTCTCACAGCAAAAAGTATCCAGCTTAAAACATAAGTCACTGAAGAACCCTGACGTCAGCTTTGAAGGCTACAAAACTGTCCTTTCAATATCATCAATGTATTTTTCAGTATATATGACTGCTTGAAAGAAAAGTATACAAAGTGTTTGCCTGTAAGAATGACTTGCTTTTATCCCCTCTACAGTCAAAAATGCATCCTTTTCTGCTTCCAGAATGTTCTTTTTGTGTGTTTTATGTATAGCATCAGGATAATGCATGAAAAAAAAATCAACACCTTCCCCTTAGCCTTCAATGCCACTCTGGCATGCCCCACCCCCAAACTGTCTAATAGAATCCATAGAACTGACAGATATTCAACTCTCTAAACTAACCTAATACTGCTATAATCACTATATTGCACTCAAAGGGGATAGAAACCCATGAAAGCTTTTCATTACTTTAAAAAACAGTTCTATTAGAAAATGCATGTTTATAAATTAAGTAAATCAATTGGTGAATTCCTCTTGGGTTAAGTTTCCCCCTTCCAAATTCATCTGGAGAGAGTCAAAACATCAAAGTCTCTAAGATAGCTTTGGCCAGCTTCAAGGATACTGAGTCTTTCATGGGATTAAACTAAAGAAAGACAAAAATTAAAGGCTACGAAAGGCAGGAGAGTGAACTTCCTAGGGGGATCATGCTTCTCATTAGCCAAGTTTCTACTGTAGTCCTAATGCATTAGTAACAAATATGAGGGTATTTAATTTGTGGAAAACTTAAAACTGCTATTATAGACTGGGCACCATGTGAGAAGAAGTCTGGAGACAAGTTGCAGGCTGAATTATCCCAGGAATGATTAATGACCTTGAGCTAACAAAATACCCAAAGCCCCTGCCTCTGCTTTCTCAACCGTGATATGATTGGATTGGAAAGAGATTTAACTCCTTCCTGCAGTAACATTTCTAAGATTCAAACATCAAGAAAGTTGCTATCTGGAAGAAGTCACAAATTTATAGGCAGATTCAGAGTTCACCATCTGGGCAAAGGTTATAATTATAACGACCAACTTCAGCTAAACTGTTTGAGGTGGTTTGAATAAGAATGGCCCCCAGAGACTCACATATTTGAATGTTTGGTTCCTAGTTGGTGGAACTGTTTGGAATGATTAGGGGATGTGGCTTTGTTAGAGGAGGTGTGTCACTGGGATAGGCTTTAAGGTTCCCAGAGCCCATGCCATTCCCAGTTAATAGACACAACCTCTTCTCTCTCTCTCTCTCTCTCTCTCTCTCTCTCTCTCTCTCTCTCTCTCTCTCTCTCCATGTCAGCTCTCAGCCACTGCCCCAGTGCCACACCTACCCGCCTGCTGCCACATTTCCCACCAGGATGGTTATGAACTCACCCTCTCACCCTCTGAAACTGTAAGCGAGCCCTCAATTAAATGCTTTCTTTTATAAGTTGCCTTGCTCATGGTGTCTCTTCAGAGCAATAGAAAAGCAAGACACTGTTGAAGGAAGAGGAAGAGAGTGAAAGGAGAGAAGGACAGAGGGAGAGAGGGAGGGAAGGAAAGCCCCCTACTGGAAGAGTACAATTCAAGAAGGCAAGAGCATTTGCCAGAGAAGCTGAGGGGACAGTTACACTGACATGAGAAGACAGACTGAGTGTCCTTCAGCCTTCCAGCTGTCAGGTTCTCCTCTGTAAACAAATGACAAACATGTCTACTACCGAAGGTCAATAGAGGAGAATGGGCTGGTGTTGGCCTTTCTGTAAGTCCAGCAAGTGGCCAGGCCCCGCCCCTGAGGGCCTCCAACCACCAGGCCTTGCCTACAGGACACTCTAACAGACACAATGGCTGGACCCAGCCCCTCCGGATGCAGGTGGCCAAGCTCCGCCGTGCAAAGTAAAAAGCTCAGGACTTGAAATCCCACCAATCCCCATCCTGGAAAGCTCCACCACATCCTCCAAGAAACCCTATATAAACCCTGTCTTCTGTTTCCGTTCTCTGCTGCTGCTTGCCTGAGCAGAAGCAGCCACCCTCCTGGGCTTTCCCTCCCAATAAATCTCTTATGTGAGGTTTGTTGTGTGGTGTATTTGTGGTACTCCTTGGCTCCCGACTGCCAGGATAACTTTCTCCTCAGAGCTGTAACACTTTGTGTCATGCTGCTCTTCCCAACAGCAGAAAATGTGAGATCAACTCAAACTACCACTATTCAGAAGGCAGAAATTGGAGACCTGTCATGTCTTCACCTTCCAGCACCCTACAAAAGCATAGACCTTGACACTCAGATACTTAGCCCCGAATTCTCAATCACATCAAATATGTTCTTGACACAGGAGATTTACATGTGTTTTTATATCAAATGAGAACAATTGTTCTTCTGGATTCCCCCAATAATTAAACCAGGAGCTTGAGAGTTGGTCTGTCGGTTAAGAGTGCTTGCTAGCTTACAGCTAGACAAGAAAACATGAATCCCAGATTCAGGGAGAGATCCTGCCTCAAAGGAACAGATGGAGAGTGAGAGAGGGAACTATATGGAGAGTGAGAGAGGGAACTATATGATACCCTCTTCTGGCCTCCACTTACGTACGCATGTGAACCCATGAGTGTCTGTGCATGTGCACGAACACACACACACACACACACACACACACACAATCAAATTCTATTGCATTGGGTGGAGACATACAGCCGGGAACAAGACCAGCTGAAGCCTCTGACTTTTAATATCTCCCTCGACCACCCCCTCCCAGTCAACTGTTCTCCTTTCCCTGCTCCAGTGTTCCATAGAGCACTGTGCTGGACAGACACAGCTGGAGTCATCAGAGAGGAGGGAGCCTCGGTTGAGAAAATGCTTCAGTAAGATCCAGCTGTAGTGTGGTGATATTTTAATTGTGCTGAAATATGATTTTATTTGTATGTTAATAAATAAAGTTTGCCTGGAGATCAGAGGTCATTAGTGGACAGTCAGGAACAGAAGTCAGGTGGCGGTAGCCCACGCCCTTAATCCGATCACATGGCAGGCAGAGTCTCTGTGTGGTCAAGGACACAGCCAAGCATGGTGACCCTTGAGTCTTTAATCCCAGTACCAACCATAGAGACCAGGAGGTCTGCATAGATAGGCAGTGCAAGGAAGTCATGTGGCTGGGCTTAGAGCCAATGAGAAGGCAGAACAGGAAAACAATAAAACCCAGACACAGGAAGAAGGTCTCTCTCTCTCAGGGGAAGGACGGCAGCAAGTGGTAAAGCTAAAGGGAGCTGTGGCTCTTGCTCTGGTCTCTTAGGCTTTAACTCTGTATTTGGCTCTGTGTTTCTTATTTAATAAGACCGTTTAGAAATGTGTCTACACTGTAGGGCATCTTCTTAATTAGTGACTGATGTGGAAGGAGCTGGGGCCACCCCTGGTCTGGTGGTCCTGGGTTCTATAAAAAACGAGGCTGAGCAAGCCACGAAGATAAGCCAGTAAGCTGTAGTAGAATATTTTAAGGTGTATTACTTTTGTTTATGTTGCATTTGTTTAACTCTGTGAAGCTGTGTTACTGTGCCTGTCTAGAACACCTGATAGTCTAATAAAGGCCAGTGGCAAAAAGAAAAAAAAAAGGCTAGCAGCCAAAGGAGGAGGACTCCAGGGGTCAGCCACTCAGCTACACAGCAAACCATGGAGTAAGAGTAAGATTACTCCATTACCAGAAAAGCCCAGAGGCAAAAGGTAGATGGGATAAGTTAAGGAAAGCTGTCTAGAAACTAAGCCAATATGTAAGAATAAATCTCTGTGTGGGATTTATTTGGGAGTGGTGGGTCCCCCAAAGGAGCTAAAAAAACAAACAACGACAGTAAGCAGCACTCTCCATGACCTCTGCCTCAGCTCCTGCCCTGTCTGAGTTCTTGTCCTGACTTAATTTCATGATGAGCAGTGATGTGGAAATACAAGCCAAATATACCCTTCTCTCCCCAAGTTGCTTTTGATCATGGTGTTTCATTACAATAATAGTAACCCTACTAAGGCAGAAATTAGTACTGGGGAGTGGGGTGTTGCTGTGACAGACCTGACCATGTTGTTTTGGGGAGGATTGAAGAAGAACTTGGGAAATTTGAGTGAGAAAAGCCATTGAGAGCCTGGTAAGCTGTTACATGGGATCTTAGAAGCAAAGAATTTTGAGAGCAATGAAGACCATGGGGCCCTGGCTTGTGAAGTTCTAGAGGGAAGTTTGAGAGTCCCTTAAAAACTATCAAGGCCGTTCGCCATTTTGAATTGAGAACCCGTGGTTCTGGTTAGCTGAATCTGAAGAGTCAGCTGTTACTAACAAGAGACAAGAACCATTAAAGTAAAACCTTTTTGTTGGTGGGACAATTGATGCTGGTCAGCTGGAGCTAAGAAATTAACGATGATTAAGAAGAGACCAGCATCACTGGGGTGAACTCTTCTGGGAAGTGTTTCCTGCGAGTCAGTGCACAGAAGCTGTGTTCCAGAGGTGGTCAAGCTTGGTGATGTGTAAGAGTCACCCAAGTGGCACTGGTTTTGAAAGCAGGAAGGGGTCACAGAGAGCAGCTGATGCTTAACATGTTCAGAAGCCATTGGTGAAGACGCAGCCTCAATGGCAGCTGAAGGCCCAAGACTGAAGAAGTCTTGGCATCAGGAAGAGAGGCTGTGAGAGGCTATTGGTGAAAGTGTAGCCCAGTTGCAGCAGAAGACCCAGCATTTTGGAGATGCCAGTACATGGGATGACCACCAAGAAGAGCGCAGTGGTGGAGTGGAGCCTGTTCCAGCTTAGAAGACAGGTGTGTGCGCTGCAGAGGGTGGAGCCAGGGAAGTGACCCAAGTTCCCTAAAGGAGCCCAGAAGGTTGTGAGTGAATTCAGATATTGAACAATAAATTATTTACACTGCTGGAGTTTGGTTTTGCTTTGTTCAGACTGTGACTGTGCTCTGGTTCTCCCCTCTTGAAGTAAGAAAATATGCTTCATTTATTTTTTATTTTAAGCCCACAGTAGAGAGACTTTAAACTTGAGAGAGATTTTGAACTTTTACAGACTATAGATTTAAAAAAGACTAGATTTTTAAAGAGACAACTTCTGAAATGCTTGAATTTGTAAGGCCATGGGACTTTTTAATGAAGTTTGTAAAGTGTTTTATATTGTGATATCTTTATTAATGTGTGATCTTGGGTGTTGGAATTCCTGGCCACTCCCACAGCTACATGACCACACATGCACTGTCCAGTAGCCAAGCAAGAGGCTTAGTCATCCCAGGAACTTATGCACTATGTAATCCATGTGCTGCATGGTCACGTAATTTGCATGCAGCGTCATCATGTTGTGCTGGCATAGCTATGTAAGCCCATATTCGCATGTGTGGGGGAATCCATAAAAAAACAGGTCACAGACTCCTCCCCCTCTTCTTCTTCCTCTCTCTCCCTGCACCATTTCTCATAGGCCCAAGCACTCCCCCCATTCTCTTTCCTTTAATAAACTCTTTTTTTTTTTTTTTTTTTTGGTTTTTCGAGACAGGGTTTCTCTGTGTAGCTTTGCGCCTTTCCTGGAACTCACTTGGTAGCCCAGGCTGGCCTTGAACTCACAGAGATCCACCTGGCTCTGCCTCCCGAGTGCTGGGATTAAAGGTGTGCGCCACCACCATCCGGCTAATAAACTCTTATAGTCGGTTTTGTTGTGCCCCGTGGCTTTTCTCGAAAGGTAAATAGCGCCGCATAATAATGACTAACATTGGGGTAAACAAGAAAGGAAAGGTTATGTCTTAACAGTGATGTGTTTGTGTGTCGAGCTGACAAGGGGTCAGCTGTGCTGGCTGGTTTTATGTTAACTTGACACAAGCTAGAGTAATCAGAGAGGAGGGAGGCTTAACAGAGGAAACACCTAGAAGATCTGGCTGTAGGCATTTAATTACTGACTGATGGATGGGGAGGGCCCAGTCCATTGTGAGTGGCACCATCCCTGGACTGGTGGTCCTGGGTTCTGTGAGAAAGCAGGGTGAGCAAGCCATGGGGAGTAAGCCAGTAAGCAGCATCCCTCCACGGCCTCTGCCTCCCGGTTCCTGCCCTGTTTGAGTTCCTGTCCTGACTTCCTTTGATGAAGAACAGTAACATGGTAGCTTAAGCCAAATAAACCCTTTCCTCCCCAAGTTGCTTTGGTCAGGTGTTTCGTCCCAGCAGTAGCAATCCTGACTAGGACAAGCACTAGGCAGTAGTCCTTGGAATATCATAGAATGTGAGATCTACAAAGGAGGAAATGTGTCTGGTTCAGCAGCGTCCGGTGTCTACAACAGTGCCTGATGAGAGCTGAAGCGCCATAAAGGGCAGAACACACAGGCTTCGGCTGGCTGCTCCTGGGAGCACTGCAGACAGAGCCTTGTACTTTCAGCCATCAATGATACACAGCTCCACGGTGTGGCCAAGAAGAACTGGCTTCTGAACACGGATTTTTAAAAAGAAAAATTGTCACCAAATACTTGTGCGCTGCACTTTCAGCTCCGCTTTTGCCTCAGCCAATGAAGATCAAATTAACAGACAGGCCACAGGCAAGAGCAACAGGGCTTGAGGGAATCCCCCAGTCAGTCCTATCTGGTCCTGTAGGCCAAGCCACAGGCCGGCTTTCAGACATTCTGTACACTCCACACTGCTCCCTGGCCAGCATATACTCTTACACTGTGTTTTCTTATGCCTTTATTGAAGCCAAACACTGAAATGTGTGTAGGAGTAATCATGTGGTTTTATGCCCTCCTCTCTAGTCTTCCTGTGATGATGCCACAGAAGGAATACACTTCCCAGTCTTGTTGTCTTAAAATCATCGGACCATATAAAAAATAACTTCCAAAGTACATACCATGTGGAAATGAATCCAAATGACCAGGAATGTTTTAGTCTTTTAGAAGATTCCAGCGAGACCATGAAGCCCCAAACCACCTCATATCTGCACACTCAACTGTCCTTTGCCCGCCCCCAACAGGAGCATTGTTCTACCACTTACAGTTTGAAGGACTTCAACTGCTCTTCCACACTGCCCAACGTGTAATCAATGACTTCATCTGCTCCAAGCTTCCTTACGAGCTCACAGGCATCTTGAGAGCAAACTGCTGTCACGTGCGCACCCCACGCTTTCATTATCTGCCAAGGGGAGGGAGAGAGGAGGAGGAGACAGTGAAGAAATGCAGTTTTTTAAAAAGAAAAGTTGGTGCCAAGAGTACACCTATCAGAGTAATCTCTAGAGAACTTTCAAGTCCTCTTCTTAACAAGAACTGTAGAAGGGTACCTATCAGACCTGGTTAAAATGTAACACTTGTTTGCCAAGAAAATCCCACTAGATCTCATCTCCCAGAGGCAAGACCACCTTTCTGTAAGTCTACGCAGTGCCCCACCAGGACCAGAAAATCCAGGAGAGTCACAGCTCAAATTTCACACCTTTAATGACAAAGGGCAAACAGCAGAGAAAAGGAAACAAACTCTCCGCATCCTCAGGCAGTGAACTGTGACAAAGCACCCAGAACATAGAAAGCAACACCTCTTCCTTTGCATCTCCAGAATCTCTTGAATCAGGCAGCGCCTCCAAGTTCCTGGGGTGATGGGCAGATCGCAGAGTGCCTGCCAGGCAAGCTTGAGAACCCAACTTCAGATCCCAGCAGCATGTGCATAAAGTCCCAGCACTGGGGAGGCAGAGATAGGAGAGTCCCTGGAGTTTTTAGGCAGCTAGCCTAGACAAATCAGTGAGCTCCAGCTTCAAGTAACAGGCCTTGTTTCAAAACCAAGATGGAGGGTGATGGAAGGAGCAGTGTTGATCTCTTGATCTCTGGCCTCCATGGGTGCGCGTACACGAGTACACACACACACACACACACACACACACACACACACACACACACACAGAGCACATATAGAAACATACAGGGAGCAGCGCTTAGATACAAGGTTATTAAGACAATAAATATGGACATTTGAGTTTTAGAACATGAACTGGGTCCTCTCCTTTAGAGTAAGAAGGCCTAGATAAATGGTCTCTTGGTTTTAAAACACAATTTTAAACATATTTAAAATTAGACTTAATAAAAGTCCATAATTCTAATGTTATTCAGGTTTAGCATCTGAAATCCCCCTCCAAACCTGATATACTTCTTCTAAAATGTCAACTTCACAGAATTAGAAGGGGACCATTTCCAGTTTAGTATCAAGCAAGATACTTCAAATTTATCAAGAAATTTGTATTGCTATAGACCAAACCAAGCATGGTGACACACACATGTAATCCCAGCACTCTGGGCCATAGAGCCAAAGGGTCAGGAACTCAAGGTCACTTTCAGCCATACAGTGTTCAAGGTCAGTCTATGATGCACGGGACCCTATCTCAAAACAAAAACAAAAATATTTCCCAAGGACTCATATAACCTGAAAATCTGAGGAAATTGAACCACTGAGGAAGGATAACATAGTTTATTAGGTTTGTGGCCACAGACTCTGGAGTAACGGAAGATACTGATTTCCACAGCAAGTCCTGAGTCAAAGTCACAGGGTGGAATCTAAGATGACCATCTTTTCCCCAAAGTATATCAAAACATTGTTGAGGAAAGGAAATGGTGTGCTAACGACCTGCATCTTTACATGCTTTTCTTTAGAGATTTATATTTGTTTTATGTATATGAGTGTCTGCTCCGTGTGTGTGACCACAAGCATGCCTGGTCCCCACAGAGGCCAGATGGGGACACTGGACCACAAGACAGTTGCGAGCTGCCATGAAGGTGCAGGGAACCAAACCTGTCTCTTAAGAGTAACCAGTGCTCCTGACCACTGAGCCACCCCTCCAGCTCCTGACCACTGAGCCACCCCTCCTGCTCCTAAGTCCTCAGGAAGAATCTATCATGTGACAAACACTCCATCTATTTTCCTCTTAATGTCTAGCTTTTCCCGACCCACTTAGAACTATCTAGTTATCTTTGACTATGACTAAAAAGTTTAGTGAAGAAGTTTTCACGTAAAATAAAGTACAAATACAGGAAGCACCTAGAGGGCAGAACCACTCAGATAAAGAAACAATACCTGTAACCATTCAGAGGTTTTTCTTTTTGTCCTGTCTCAACACAAGCCCCTCTCTCAACCACCTCCTCAAGTTACCATTATCTTGATTTTTACAGTAATCAATTCCTGACATTAAAAAACTGTCATCCAAATATGCATTCCTCAGGCACTATTATTTTGGTTGTGCTCATTTTTTAAATGGAGGGGGGGCTCTTCTAAATCACAGGCTGCTGTTCTATCCCTCTGCTCTCCTAAGATTTATCTGTGGAAGAACCCAGGCCACGCGACCTGCAGACTTGCCCCTAGTTGGGAACTTGTCTGCCCAGGGGCCACTTCTGCACATTGCTGTGTAGATGGCTGTAAGGCCGGGTCAGGCTGAGTTTCAGTCTCTTTAGAAAACCATCGAGAGCGTCTCCCAAAGCTAGAGGATACCAGCTGTCAATGCTCAGGACTTAGGCCTGGCCACTGGTGGCTGCAAAGTAGTAATGTTCCAGTTCTACTGCTTTTCATTCAGTAGTCATAATTAATGAATATCTCCCTTCAAATACTAGATGGTTTGTCCAGTCAGACAGTTCATTAAAAAATGGTAGGACAGCGGATCTCTGGGTTCAGGCCAGCCTGGTCTACAGAGCGAGATTCAGGACAGCAGGGCTACACAGAGAAACCCTGTTTCGAAAAACAGATAAAATAAAAATAAAAAACTGGCAGGACAAAAGCTGGGGCTACACATACATGACAGATCACTCCCCTAACAAGCACAAGGTGGGGGGCAATGCAGGAATATTTAATTATTTCCCTTTATCAATGTATAATACAATAACTTGTTCCTCATAACCTTCCAAAAGTAATCACTTTTCAAAAAACCAAGAAACTCATGGATTTAAATGTTTATATGGATTCAACCTACTACCATCATTACAGAAAACTACTGCAGTTTCTCTAAGATGGCTCCCGACTCCGGCAGTGACCTAAAGGTTTGACGTACCCCTGCCATTGTGAAACTAGGTATGCTCACACTGTGAACCCTGTAACTGCCCGTTTCTCTACAGGATTTGCATTCTTTCAGTGAGATGCGATACAGCAAGAGACGGTTCACACATTCATACACTCCTGAGCTCTCACTGATAACCACTACTCCACTGGGAGAGCCAGGGCTGAGCACTAAGAGCCCTGGAGGCGTAGGCTGGCATGTAAGAGGCTGAGTTCAACCCCTGTACCATCTCTAAAATATTTAACAATTAGAATACGACTCATGCCTGTGATGTTCACTCCGTGAGAATTTGTTAAACCACACATTTATGTCACATATACTTTTTTGAGTTCTATATCACAACAGAAAGTTTTAAAATATTTTTAAGATGTATGTACACGTGTGTCTGTGTGAGTGTATGCTACATGTGCAGATGTGGAGGGAGGCCAGCTACTTCTCGCACTCTTATTCATAACTACAATTTCAATGAGTGACTATCACTCACAACTAAACCCAGACGCACTAGGGTGTAGCTCGGTGGGATAGAGAATCATGGACTAAAATCTCCAAATGATAAGTTAAACCTTGGCTTTTAGCAGGCAGATCGTCTCGGGTATGCAGCAGCAGCAGCAGCAGCAGAAGCGACTATCAGTTTGGTTCTCTGCCCCCTTGCCAGCGTGTTTTTATTTCGTTTATTTCATTTCATTTTATTTCATTTAATCATGACACCCTTAGGCATGGCTTGTTGTGGTTCAGACTTCTATTTCCCTAAGGAAGAGTGATGTTCAGTGTCTTCCCATGAACTTATATATGATCTTTCAAAAACAGCATATTTTGAGTTTTTCCCGTGTTTTTTATTGGTGTATACTGATTGTACAAAATAATGTTTCATTGTGTTTCCTTAATTCAGGATCTCATTATATACACTTGATTGACCTCAAACTAAAGAACCTCCTGCCTCAGCCTTCCAAGGGCCAGGGTCGCAAGCTTTGCCACCATGCTTGGCATCTTTCTGCTTTGAAAATGATGTTGTCTTTCTGTTGTGTAGGTATGACCTCTTTATGTAGCATGGAGATCAGACCCTTATCAAATTAACAACTTATAAATACTCCCCCATGGTGTGGTGGTTAATACTGACTGCCAATCTGCAGGATCTAGACTCCCCCAGGAGACAAGCCTGGGAGCACCGCTGTGAGGGACGATCTAGGTTAGCTGAGGTGGAGAGACCCACCTTAATGTGGTGGTGCTGGTTCCCGGGCCAGGGTCCCAGACTGTGTCAAAAGGAGGAAGCCAGGTGAGCACCAGCACTCATGGAACTGCTTAATGACTGCAAGTCCCCCAGATCCTGCTGCCCCAAGTGACCAGCTGTCCCCAGATCCTGCTGCCCCCAAGTGACCAGCAGTCCGCAGATCCTGCTGTCCCCAAGTGACCAGCAGTCGTCCCCAGATCCTGCTGCCTGAGTTCCCTTTCCTCTTAAAGCACTTTTTTCACACATTTTGTCACAGCTACAAGGAAAGTAGCTGAGACATATGGGCTGTTTTTTAAATCTCCTTGATAGTGACCTTTGATGTATCAAGATTTTTAACTTGATAAAGTTCAACTTACTTGCTTTTTAAGTCTATTGTTTATGTTTTAGTGTCACATCTAAGAATCTGCTGTCAAATCTAAGGGGATGATTATTTATAGCTGGTTTCTTCTGAGAGTTTTATGGTCGGTGCTCTTATTTTTATCTCTCTGATTCACCTTGAGTTATTTTTGTGTATCATATAGGTAAGGGTCCAATTCCCTTCTTCTGTAGGTGGACATCAAGTTGTCTCTTCATCTGTTGGAGGACATTTTCCCTCACTTAACCAGTTTGCCATCCTTGTTAACAATGACGGGACGGAGTGATGGCTGCTCTCCCACAGGAGCCTCCACCAGTTACCAGCTCAAAACCCTGCAACTCCATCTTCAGGGAGCCAGCACCCTCTTCTTGCCTCTACACACACACGCCACACACTCACGTAGACACACAAAAAAACTGACCACACATGTATAGATTTGTCTCTGGATAGTTAATTTTTCCCACTGTGTTCTTGTGTTTTCTCCTCCTCTCTCCCTCCCTCCCTCCCTCCCCTCCCTCCCTCCCTTTCTTGGCAATGTTGTTTACTGCTAAACTGCAAACTTTTAACTACAACCACCACCATGGTCTTCCTCCACACATTCAACTTTTCCACACTAAACGACTGGAAAGGTCAATGGTTTCTTTTGTGTTAGAACATATTCGTTTGGGTCACTGAAATTAAAAGGCATTTACTCGATGCCCTATTTTTCTTTCACTGTGTGAAAACACTGACCAAAACCAATTTGGGAAGTCGAGTATTTCAGCTTACAGACTATACTCCATTATCACGGAAGTCAGGAAGGAACTCAAGGCAGGAACTGAGGCAGAGGCCATGGAGGGTGCTGCTCTGCTCACTGGCTTGTTCTCCATGGTTTGCTCAGCCTGCTTTCCTCTACAACCCAGGACCACCAGCCCAGGGGTGGCACCGCCCACAGTGAGCTGGGCCCTCCTCCATCAAACACGAATCAAGACAACGCCCCCAGCCATGCCCACAAGCCCGTTTGACGGAGGCCATTCCTTAATTGAAGTCTCCTTTTCCCAGATGACTACAGCTGATTTCAAGCTGACAAAATGAACCACTGGACGCCGCAGCTTTGAAGGAAAGCTAATTTATAACGTACAAATTTATAAATTCATAGAAACAAAGGTCTTCCTAGTCACAAGATTAAGGAAGTCTTACCTGTATCGCAAAAGTGCCAACTCCACCCGAGGCCCCCAAGATTAATGCACTGCAATGGAAGACAAAACATGGGGAGTGAGACTGCAGACATCCCTGCCACGCAGAACTCTGAAAAGCAGAAGCCCTCGGTGACAATCCCTCCCCAAAGCAAAGCAGTCGTTCACCTTTCCAAGACTGAGTTACACAGACTTCACCAGGAAGCTTCAAGTGCTTGAAATGAAACATTTCACACTGAAAACACAAGCTATCAGCACACTAACAACTTCCTTTGACTGCAAATTCGGGCTGCACTTTGAAACTCCGTTTTACAGTTTCTCTAGGCTGAAGTTACTACCTTCCTCTGTAAGGAGGAAACCTGAGGTGCTTGTTAACACGGCTCTCTCAGAAAAGTCACATTCCTGACCGCATTCCTGCCATGGCGGAAGGAACACCTTGTGTTCAGGCATGTCCTGCTAAACTCAGCTGTCACAGACAGGACTCTCGTCCTCTGTATGACTTCCTGTGGAAGCAAACCCCTGTGCCCTGTCAGCACAGGCCCTCAGCACATTTACTCAGTGACCTCCCACCACTCGGGACAGGGGGCCAGGCCTGGAGTCCGCCCAGAGTGGAGGAGAGGTAAGAACGGGGTGGGGGGGTGGGGAGGGGGCTGAGTCTCTAAACACAATGAAAGGCCAGGTGTGCATAGGATACAGACCTACCGTCCATTCCCAAAGAAGTCTGTGATTTGAAAGAGAATCAGTGGTCAAAACTCACCGCATCAGGCAGGCGAGATGGTTCAGTGGGTAAAGGTACTTGGTGTGAAAGCCTGACCACCTTGAGTTCAATCATCGGAACCCACAGGGAAGGGGAGAACAGACTCCTGAAAGTTGTCCTGAATTCACACACACACACACACACACACACACACACACACACACACAGAATAAAAAGTTTTTTTGAAAGAATCACTGCTTTGCCTTCTTGGGCGGGTTTCAAATGCCTAGAAAACCGTGTTGATCTGCAGTTTGGGGCTGTGTCCCCAACAGAGGTGGGGGGACACCGCAAAAGGGTTGTCTGGTATCTGCTACTACATTAACTATTCTGGGAGACGGTTTCATGAAAGTTCCGAGTGCCCACGGCCCAACAGTCTTCTGAGCCTAAGTGGTGGGCGTGGCGGCTGCTTGTCTGCCTCTGTCATTCTGTAACTGCTACTTACGGCCTTTTCTTCCCGACCAGACAGCACAGAATCCCACCTCCTACTGCTGCCCAGTGCACTGAACCTCACAGCACACACTCCGTCTATAATCTTAACCCCAGTTTCATTTTTCCTGTCCCTCACTGGAATCACAGAGGCTGATTATTATCATCTGTTATATGTTAAAAGTTATTACTATAATTTCCAAGCCAGCTGTTCCCTTTGAAATACCATTAAATATAATTAAAAGAAGTCTCCTTGCAAATCATGTTCCTTCTCCTAGTAGTTTTCATCTCACAAAACTATCAGCGGTGAAGAAACTCTGGACATGTCTCGCCCTCCAAACTCCATCTCAGGCTTTACATACACCCTTTGTATTTCTAAGTGGAAAGCACCCCACAGCTGAGGTGGTGGCACACCTAGAACCCAGCACTCAGGAGGCTGAGGCAGGTAGCCTGCAAGCTCAAGCCAGTCAGGGTGACTCCGTGAGACCGTCTCGAACCAAACTATACAAACAAGAAAACCTGTCATACAGATCATCTAACAATTAATCTACCCACAAAATATTTAATGCTGACTTTTTGCTCATTATCTAAATTAGTGAAACTTCGAGCTTCTCTTTTATATTAAGACCGAAAAGAACAGATATTTTATCAAGTTTGTAGCTGTCTGTGACCTGGTAATTTTTGAGTCAGGAGGATATTTGTTTAAGAAATGCCTTTCTGGTGGCTTAAGGATATTTTCCTAGGGAAGCCACAGATCAGAGGCCATTATTCTTAGAAACACCATGGCATTACTCTGTGCCTGATGGTTTGTCTGCTCTTTGTTTTGTTTCTTTGTACAAGGGGATGGGGCAAAGGCATTCCATACATGGAGACACTCGGGGCAGATAACAGGTTTTCAGACGTGGGCAGAGAGCCTCTTGTCTCTTGTTCAATGTGGGCACCTATTCTACTTCACAGGCACTGAAGGACAGAGACCTCCTATCACACCCTGTGCTGGCTAGACCATCCTAGATGCCCAGCCAGGGTGTGACTTCATAAAAACCATCACATCACCATCTGACGAGCAGCACAATCATTGCTACCCCCTGAAGAGAGGGGATCACCTGGCTACTTGACAGACTACGTTAAAGTTTCTTCCAGTAAAGGGAAGCTTGAAATGTTTTTCTAGGGGGCTGGAGACATGGCTGCTCTTCCAGAGGACCAGAGTTCAATTCCTAGCATCTACACGGCAGCTCGCAACTGTCTGTAACTCCAATTCCAGGGGATCTGTAACTCCACACATACATACACCTTCACAGATGTCTATGCAGGCAAAACTGCAATGCATGTAGAATAAAAATAAATAAATCATTAAAAATTTTTAAAAAGACTCTAGTTTCTCCCTGGGAAGACAGGATCACAAGGATACCAAATATAATGGCTGCCTGGGGACCCAATTGCCAGACACATCTCTGCCTCAATTCCTGTCAGCTTGTCTCTTCCCCATAACCTTAATCAAAGCAGCTTCACTTCCTAAATAACAGCAAAATTATCTCACAAGAGGAAGGCTTGAGAACCAGGTTGGGCAACCAGTGTCAGTTCCCAATGCTGCCACCTGAGGGCGCTCTCAAAGTGCAAAAGGCCCAGGAGCAGGCTCAAGAAGTGCCGGAGACACTTGGGACACAATTTTCCAACCGTCCAAACTTTAGCTTTGCATAGGATCAAGCAAGGCCTATTCTTTTTTCAAACAAAGTAAATCTCCAAAAGGACAACAGGCAAAATGAACTCTAAAGCCAGCAATGAGCTGACTGTTCTGTGGCTAACCTACCCTCAGTCTATAAAGTACCTCCGAATCCTGGGGCATGCTGCAGCGCCTCCCTCACAGCAGCACATAGGTGCTGTTCCAGGAGCGTTTCCTGACCTTGCTTGCTGTAAGGGCCACACTACACATGCAAATCCAACCAAGCTGGAACCTTGGCACAGTGAAGAAAGTGTGCTGTTCGTTGGTTTACGTCAGTGGTTCTCAACCTTCCTAACACTGTGACCCTCTAACATGGTTCATGTTGTGCTGACCCTCAACCATGAAATTATTTGTGTTGCTACTTCATAACTGTATTTTTGCTACTGTTAGGGCTTGTGATGAAAATATTTTTGGAGATAGAGGTTTGTCAAAGGGGCCATGACCCACAGGTTGAAAACCACTGGTTTATATAGAAACAGCCCAAGAAATATTATACTTGCAAGGGAACTTTAATTCAGAATTGCCCATGTTTTCAGTACATGGCCACCCACTTCCAAGTCCACACAGCTTACTCTGAAGGTGCTGAGGACTATACTAGTGGCAGATCTAGAAAACATGGGGAAATACGAATAATTATTATATTGCTATGCATTCTTTTCTGTTGTTGAGAGAGGGTGTTAGGTAGCCCTGGCTGGCCTCAAACTTGTAGCTGAGGGTGTCCTTGAACTCCTGATGCTCCTATCTCAGCCTGCAGAGTGCTGGGAATACAGGCATGTGCCACCATACTTGCTCTCTACACTCTAAATCCTAGCTTGCTGTCATTTCTGCCTAATGTCTAAAGTCTCTCTGAATAAGCATGAAGATACTGATGATGTAATGGTGGTTTCCCTGGAGAGACGGCTCAGCAGTGAGGAATGCTTGCTGCTCTTCCAGAGGACCCACCTGGGTTCAGTTCCCAGCACCCATGAAAGGCAGGTGGCTTTCAATCACCATAACTCCAGCTCCAGCTCAGACTTCTGGCCTCTACAGGTATCCTCACACAAGAGGCACACACACACACACACACACACACACTCACGGAGGAACCAGCAGGAGGGACTTACCCTCAAGTTTCTGTCTGGGTTGGCCTGTAGAAACCTGAGCTGCAAATGTAGAGATCTAGGCTCGGCCTCAATCATTCTCTAAGGGAAACACTAGGTCTCAGATTCATGAACCGCAAAGGGCTAAGCAGAGGCGGAGTCTGGGGTAGTGAACATAACTGGTAATTCCAGTGGAATCTCATCTTCTGCTTCCTTTCTAGCCCGTGTGGCTGACTTCCCTGACTCCCCACAAGATTAAAGACCATCTATTAGATCCTACTGGCTAAGAAACAAAGATGATATTAAGTCTGGCTACATTTTCTACAGGAAAAAACAATGATCTTTAAGAAAGCAAGATGGTGCTGGTGCTGAACCATATTTCAGCTTCACACACGAGGCACACACACACACACACACACACACACACACACTCACGGAGCTCCTTCTAAATGTGGGAGTGTGGAGACGGTGAAACTGCCACTGAATTATCCCAGCACAGCACACTGCTTACCTAACAGTCTAAGTTTCCCTGCTGAGTAAATAAGTATTATCTCGAATAATAATGAGATAATAGTTATAAAACAATCAACCAAATGTGACTAAGATAGCCTGGATTTGTTTTCTTCTAAACCTCTGTAATTTATACTGACATTTCCCAGTTCACAGGACAGTTCATGTGTGAATTAGACATTTGAAATGTAAATACATTTTCCCATGAAAACAAAGCTATTTATATACACTTTGGCAAATGCCCAAGGTAACTGTTTCTAACCATAAGGGTTGGAGAACTTCGGACACAGGCTAACAATGCTTCTGTTATCTGCGGTGATTCAGAATTTTGCCTGGGCCTTGGGATGGATCTTCTAAGTGGGACAGTCCTGGGAACAGGCTTGGATCCCGAGCTCCTTGGGTCACACAGAAACAGACTGAAGGAAGGAAGGTATGCTGATGGTAACCATGATGAGAAGTTGTTCAAGCAGACTGCCAAGGTGCCAGTGAAGCTCAAGCCTCAGCCCTTCACTCACACGGAGCGTGGCAGCATGTCAGCACAGACACACGGCTTCACACAACGTAACACAACTAAAGCATGCCGATCACAATCAGCTAAGATGGCGGGCTCTTCCCACCCCTCCACTTGGTCCTTCACATACATACACACACACACACACACACACACACACACACACACACACACACACACCTCCACTTGGGCCTTCACACAAATACCCCTCCACTCAGTCCTTCACACAAACACCCCTCCACTCAGTCCTTCACACACACACACACACATACACACACACACACACCTCCACTTGGGCCTTCACACACACATCTGACACACTAGCTTCGGCTGGGAAGTTGCTCCACAGACACAGGGCTCTCCTCCTACTCATGGTTTTACATTCTGAGATTCTAGTTACCCACCCTCAATTGTGGCCCCAAAGTAGAAAATCCAAAATTACAGAAATAAATAATTTCTAAGTTTTAAATAACTTTTACTAGAGCTCACCAATAGAACTGTGCTATTTTATCTTTGGATTCAGAATCCATTGGGGAATTTGTCTTCATGGATAAGAGGAACTGTTGTACATCTGCTTTGGATTTAGTGGGAAATACTGTATGTGGTTCCTAGTCATTTCTGCATAGAAATAAGTTCTTGCTAGCTGCTCTGGCTTAATAATGCCTTCCAAAGGCAGGGCTAACTGTTGGCCTGCAATCCCAACACTCAGGAGCCTGAGGAGAAGATCAAATGTTCAGAGTCAGCCTAGGATACACAGAAAGAACCTACTAGATAGCAAGATGGCTCAGTGGGTTGAGGATTTGAGTTTGATCCCTGGGACCCACACAGTGGAAGGAAAAAAGAACCGTGAGACTGAGAAGATCGTCAGTGGGTAAAGTCACTTGGTGAGCACCAAGCCTGACCACTGAGTTCCATCTCCGGGGGCCCACGTGATGGAAGGATGGATCCAACCCCTGCAAGCTGTCCTCTGACAGAACATGGCCTGCTCCACACACACAGATAAACGTAATTCCTTTTCAAAGGAACTGTGCTATTTGATTCTGGTACCACCTCCAACTCTCCCTTCCGTTCAGTTACTAACTAACTGATCCGGAGTGCCTGCTTGTCTATCAAAAAAAAAAACAAAACAAAACAAATGAAAATCAAAATAAGGAATTTCACTGTCAACTCTCTTTGTAAAAGAACATCTTTTACATTGATTTATCTCCTGGGGGAGGGTCCCCGGGGGTGAACTCAGGTCGTCAGGTTCAATTACAACCTCCTTCATCCACTGAGTCATCACCAGGCCCTGTCAGTGTTCTAAGCTACAAACTACATTGTATGTCCTTGTTAGTAACAGAAGCCACCATTATTGAGTGCTACCACCTTTACATGCTTTCTCTCCCTTAACCTTCAGAACAAAGCTCCAAGAGATCAACGGAACAGATGCTCCAGCTGTGGAGCAGCAGAATCAGAACACGAATGGAGAGCTGGCAGCTCTCCCACCCACAGAGCATCTCGGAGCCGCTGTGGTTATCTGTTCTACACATGCTTTCCATACCGGCTTTTCTTACACCCACATAACTATGATCAAGTTTTAAGTTGGGTAAAATGAATAAAAAATTTTGTCATTTTTAACAAAACAATCTAACAATATACTGTAATACAAGTTACACGAGTGTAAGGTTTCCCTCGTGCTTCTAAACAGCCGGCTCTCCTGAACTCATCCTCTCAGATCATGACTGACCACAGGAGCAGTGACCCAGACTATAGAAGGTGAAAACACAGATGACGAGGATGAATGAACGCCAGACAGGGTCACTGTTTCACTGCTGACCTAAACAAGCCTATGTTCTAGTCACTGGAGCATCAGAACTGACCTCCAAGATGTAAATACGGAGCCCAAGGGAATTCAAGAGTATTCAACACCACTAAACATACGAAGCTGTGAGCATGTCCTGGTCGGGAGAAAGTACCACTCTCAGCTTGGCACGTTCCTTATAGGGTAGAGGCTCATACCTTTCCTAGGAGCCTCCCAAAAGCTGGCTCTCTTCTCCAGAGGCTCACATAGAAACTTCCATCCCAGGGCTCCAGAGATGGCTCAGCTGTTAAGACAGCTTTGTGCTCTTACGGAGGACACACACTTGGTGGCTCACAACCACCTGTAACTCCAGGTCCAGAAGATCTGATGTTTTGTTTTGGCCGAGATACCTGCATGCATGTGCCCATAACCTCACGCAGGCATGCATATACATAATACATAAATATACAATATATATGTAATATATAAAAAAGTTTAAATGCCCTAATACAGGAAACTCAAGCTCCTAGATAACTCAACTACACATCTTTTAAAATCTCCATTGGATTCAGCTGAGACTCCAGAGTATGAGGCTTTAAAATAAAATGTGTCAGATGTTAGCACAACTGGTCCCACAGCTGAGGGGAACCTCAGCGCAAACAGGTCTGCTGTAAAGAACTAGAAGAAAGAAAACGGGGCTTCAGATGTCACACCGCACTTACCGTTTTCCCATGCAATTCTTGGCGTTCAGGCCACCAACCTTGTTTATGGCAGACCAGGCTGTGAGAGCCACATATGGCAAAGAGGCAGCTTGAGTATGAGTGAGTGACTTGGGCTTGTGTGAGACCTACATTGAAAGACAATGGTCAAAACCAGGCAGGAACTTGCAAGCCTATACACACAGCTAAGCATTTACTTTCACAGGAAAGCAAGAATTTTCACGGAGAAATGTATAAACTATTTCTGGGTTCAGGGGTTACTGTACACCCTACTCCAGAGTTGGTTTCAGAACGGTCTCCAGCCGGGCGGTGGTGGCGCACGCCTTTAATCCCAGCACTCGGGAGGCAGAGCCAGGCGGATCTCTAAGTTCGAGGCCAGCCTGGGCTACCAAGTGAGCTCCAGGAAAGGCGCAAAGCTACACAGAGAAACCCTGTTTCAAAAAAACCAAAAAGAAAAACAAAACAGAATAGTCTCCAAACAGCTCTTCACCTGATCATAGAGGCTCAGTAATGTTTTGCAGTCTACATTATTAGACATACTACTTCACTGTTCATTTAAAAAGATCATATATAATAATCACAATTATTAGATATACTTCGCTGTTCATTTAAAAAGACCATATATAATAATCGTGTTAGACCTGACTATACTCAGAGATAAATTCCAATAAACCTCAAATCTTGATAAACACATTTGAATTCATTTTTGAGATCAATTGCTTCCTTAACTCTGTTTTCTGGAAAGTAATTTTTCCAGACTTTTTTTTCTATCCTAGTAACTCCTAATGCCTCCTCCAGGCTCCTCCTGGGGCACTTCTCTTTACTAACTGTTAGGTCCCTGACTACATTTGATTCCTCCAGGCCTCTCCCTTGGGTATATTTGGTACCTACTGGGTAGAGTGGAGAGCAGCGTTCACACCTCAGCCCACGTCTCTGCTCTAAGGATACAGATGACTGCTCCAGCAGGCAGTGCTAATAAATAACACCAAACAGTGCACTTTTTGAAGTTTCCCAGTCTTTATTTTAGCTCTCTCAAAGTTGCCCATAAGACATGAATCTAATCTGAAAAACCACCAATAACTTTCGAGATGCCTGCCAGTCTCCTTATACAACCAAGCATTTCAGCAGAGATGGCGAGTTACCTCATTCCCACTGACCACAACGAATTCTGAGAGAGTGCCTTGTTTCCAAGGAGGAACTGCAGCCCAGACCTGAAATGCAGACATGCAGCTTTATTAGACAAAGAAATGTCTGACCCAAGCTGAGCATGAAGGCATTCCCTAACACATGGCTACCTTGGGGTGGGAGCACTCCAGTACAAAAAGTTAAGCTTCACATAATACTAATTCATTGCTGAGTATGATTCTGTGTTTCTCAAACCACACTGGATAGACATACTAATACACCTGCTGCATTCAGTAAGACTCTCCTGGGGATCTAGGACTTACTAGCTGTGGCTTTTAACTTTTTTTTTATTTATATATATGTTTGAGACAGGGCCTCATCAGGTAGCCCAGGGGGACCCCAAACTTTTAATCTTCTCTTCTCAGATTCGTTAGCGCTGGGATTACAGGTGAACCTCACCATGCCCAGCTGGCTAAGGGACACTTTATAGCAGGGCCTGCTCAACTGCAAGCTGGCCTGGCTGTGCTGACTTACAGGGATTATCTTCTCTGTGAAAAGAAACCAGAACACGGCTAGTATCATGAGCTCACTACTATCTCTTGGCATAAACATCCAAAGTGACAAGTGACAGGAGATTGTACCAAACTTTAGCTATTTCAAAGCCAGCTAACCCATAAGGTAGAAACTGTCCTTTAAAGACTCAAGCAAAATAAGTAGTCCTAATCCTACATGTTTTAAAGTCTTGTAATTCTTAAGTACTAAGTTAGAAAATTCAAGTACAACCTGAGCATGTAGCTCATGCCTGTAATGGTAACACTAAGGAGGCCAAGGCACTGTCACAGGTTCAAGACAAGCCTGAGCTACACAGTGTTCCAAGCAGCAAGACCCTGTCTCAAAAAAAGAAAGGAAGGAAGGGAGGAAGGAAGGAAGGGGGGGAGAAGGGAGGGAGGGAGGGAGGGAGGGAGGGAGGAAGGAAGGAAGGAAGGAAGGAAGGAAGGAAGGAAGGAAGGAAGGAAGGAAGGAAGGAAGGA